ATTTATGATTTTACTTAATTTAATAATTTGCACTGCAGAAAAAGTTTTATATTAATATACCTAGGCTAAAAAAATAAAATAAAATAAAGAAAATTCATTATATATAGAATTCGGAGGCTTTTAATTTTCAATATCTTTCAAAAATAAATTAAAAAGACTAATTAAATATGAATCTAAGAATTTTTTCCGTAAAATATTCCCAGTATAATTTTCATAAAATTATAAGATATTTTCCTCTTATGATGGTTAATTACAAAAACATTCCGGATATTCTTCACAATTTTTTAAATGTTCAATTTATATGTTTTCTAAAAAGAAGGAATTTTCGGTTTTATTGTATTTTTAAAAGTTTATAGGAATTTCTTATATTAAAATTCTTATATATTTCTCAAGTTCGTAAAAATTTTATTTATAATCATTTTTTTTCAAGATATTTAATTCTTATTTTTGTAATAATTATGCTAGTTTAAATGAAAAAAGTATAATTAAAAAAAATCCTAGATATTAAAAATGCTTTAGATTAAAATTAATGCCAAATATAGTAAAAATAATAAACATAACGTGGAATATATTACAAAATACTGCACAAAATCTTATTTTTTTATCTATATAAAATAAATTTTACATCGTATTTAAATATTTAAAGATAGAATAAAAAAAAATTAGAATAATCTAAATGTATTCTAAGTCACAAAAAAAATGTAGAGTACATAATATGATTTAGAAAAATAAGTGAATAAATCAAATTTAAAGTTTGATCTTTTCCCTAAAAAATCTTTTGATTATATTAAAAAATCTTAATCATGAATAATAATTACTATTACTTTTATATTTATATTTAAAAATTATAAATGTATGTAATAATATATTTATATATATACAAATATATATATATTTATTATTTTATCATATATTTATTAATTTTTTACTATTTATTATTGTTAAAGCTAAGTTTACTACGGATTTAATCATGCTATTGTTTATATATTTAATTGAAAAATATATAGAATGAAAAAATGTTATATAAATGTATGTTTAAATGAAAAAGGAACATATTTATTAAGTTAGTAACAAAGGTTTTTACTAATTATATAATATGAAATTTATTATTATAAAAGTAATAATTATTATATTAATAGATAAAGTTAAAAAATAAATTAAGTCTTCATTTATTTAAGTTATTATTAAAAAATAAACTAGAGATTATTCATATTTATCCTATTAATTATATATTTATTAAATTCTAGGACTGTAAATTAATTAAATGTCGTTGTAAAATTAAAAGAATAATAAAAAAAACTAAATAATTAATTTCGTTTAAATATATGTATTTCTATACAAAAATATTTTTCATAATATTCATTAAGGTTTTATTATATTTTTAAAAAAAAAATTCATTTGTTTAAATTTTAATAATATATAATAAAATATATATAAATTATAAATAATTCATATATAAATTATAAATTATTTATTTTAAAATAAAATAAGAAATAAAAATTTTATAAAATATTTAAATGTCAATAATTACTTTTAAAATATTTAATATTTAAAAATATATAAATATAAATATAAATATAAATATAAATATAAATATAAATATTTAATTATTTTGTTTACTTTTCTAAATATATTTTTTATATTTATCATTTCCAAAATATATTTATTATTATCAAAATTTATTTTTGTTTCTTTTTTTTAACTAAAATATAACAATTTTAATTTAAAATAATATTTTTTTAATTTATATTGATTAATATTGCTTAACTTTTATTCGATTTTTTTTTTATATTAAACACAGAAATGGTTTTTATGCCATTATTTATAATATATTTATTAATATTAATATAAGATTTTTTTATTATAATTTATATTTTATTCTTATAAATTATCTTAAATAATTTTTGTAAAAAAAAAATATCTTTTGGATAAATTATTATATTTACATTCTTTAATTAATATAATTTATTTATTAAATATATTTTTTAATTATTTTTTCAATCATTAATTTGGATTTTTTATATATATATATTTATTTTTTATTTTAAAATAATATAATGTTTTTTAATTTAATATTTTATTAAATATTTGATCTTTATTTTTATTAATTTTTTTTTATAAATTAAACAAAATAACAAATATCTAATATAAATGGATAATTGATCTTCATTATTTTTATTTCTTAAAAAATAAAAAAACAGATAAAATCTATTAACAACTATTATTATATTATCTTTACTTTCACATAATACATATTATTTTAAACTCAAAATAAATTAAATTATTTAGATATATATATATATAAAATTATTAATATTTTATAATTTTTTTAGTTTAATAATAGAAAAAGTTTTATTTTTATGCATTAAATAAATAAAAAAAAATTATTTTTATTTCTTTTATATAACTTCATTTATTTAATATTATTTTTCTATATTTGGATACTATATTTATAATTTATTTTTAATTTATTTTTTTACTTTAAAAAGTAATAAATTTAAACTTATTACCATAGATTATATTACTTTTTGTATAAAAAATCAGAAATTAAATTTGCACACAATTATTTAAAAACTATTTCTTAACTTATAAATATATATTTAAAATATATATTTATTAAATAAATTGAATGTTTTGTAAAGGTAATATTAAGAAAAATCAAATTAAACAATAAACTGATTCTATCAATTTATCTTATTGAATTTTTTTAAAATGTAGAAATCTATGAAAATTTATAATTTTGAAAAAATTATTTTTTTATTTTAAAAAATTTTCATTCCATAATTGCAAAGAACTTATTATAATTTTAAATATTGAAAAAAATGTTTTTTTAAAAAAAAAAATATTATATTTAATTTTAAGAATAAAGAAGAAGAAGTTTTTTAAATTTACAAATTTTAATAATACTAAAAAAAGTATTTATACAAATTGTTATGAAAAATGAGTTATCTTTTTTATATATAGTATTTTGGTTTGATTATTTATTGTTTAATTGGAGATAAATATTTATTTTTTTAATTATTTCTAAATTAATATTTTTTTTATAAATATTAATTAATTTGGCTGTCTATTTATATTTGAAAAAAAATATATTTTGATATTACTAGAAAATACTTTAATATATTTAATTTTATTATTTTTATTAAGAAAATAAATTATATGTAAATTGTTATATTTAAAAAGTATGATTAAATAAAATCTTCTATATATATTTTATAAATAATATATATATATATAAATATATATTTTTATATATATATGTTTTTAAAAAATAAATAAAAGTATTTTCCGTTATAAATTATTCCTATTTTTTAAAGTTCATACATTTTGTTTTATATATTAATATTATTTTTTATTTATTTAAATATCAAAAATTATATAAATTGATTTTAAAAAACTGAAAAAAGACATTTTTTAAAAAAGATAAAAATTAAATATATTTGATTAGATATATAAGTTTCTTTTTTAAATTGATTATAAAAAAATATTATTTATATAAAAACGTAATAAATAAAAATAACACATACAAAATTAAATAATTTATATAAAATATTAATTTAATAATATTAATATAATAATTTAAATTAAAAATAATATATTGTTAACAAAAAAGTAAATAATATGAAAACTATTGCTATCCTATCTCTTATTTTAATATTATCTTTTGCAAAAAATAACAATGTAAAAGAATTAGAAGAATCTCCTGATTAACATATTGATTATTAATCTAAAAAGAATTTAATTATTGCTGCAGATTTAGAATAATCATTACCTGAAATATCAGAACCTTTAACATCTGCGCCTGAAACTAAAACAACAGAGCCTGGAGGATGGTCATAAATAGATGTTAATACCGTAAGATCTAATAAACATTATAATAAAGTAAAAAAATTCGCTAAATCTAAATTCCATGGAAAAACTTGTAAAGGTCCTAAAGATCAAATGATTTGGAAATTATAAAAATTCCAAGTTTCAACTACTAATGGTTACGATTATGAAATTACTTATGAAGCTAGATTAATTAATGATTAAAAACACAGTTCAGCTACACATATATTGAGTGTTTTTGAAAGCTTTGAAGAAGTAGAAGATGGAGAAGAAGGAGTATTAAGTTTATATCATTGTAAATTAGGATAAATTGCTAAAACATGAAAAAAAAAAAATTATAAATATTTAAGTTTAATTTTTTTTATTTAATTTAATTTTTTTTTAAATTTAAAAATATAAATCATATTATTATTTTTAAAAATAAAATTATTTTTCTTATTTTTTTAAATATTATTTTTAAGATATGAAAATTTGAATATTTTATTTTATTTTTTTTAAAAACAAAAAAAGATTTAAAAAAAATTATAAATATAGTATTTTGGTTTGATTATTAAATGTTTAATTAGAGATAAATATTTATTTTTTTAGTTATTTCTAAATTAATATTTTTTTTTTTAAATATTAATTAATTTGGCTATATATTTATATTTAAAAAAAAATAATATTTTGATAATACTAGAAAATAAATAAATATATTAAATTTTAATTATTTTTATTAAGAAAAAAAATTAATATGTAAATTGTTATATTTAAAAGTATGATTAATAATTTTTTTATTATATTTATATATATATATATATTTATTTATATATATATTTAAAAAAATAAATAAAAATATTTTTCTTTATAAATTATTACTATTTTTTAAAGTTCATACATTTTGTTTTTTATATTTATATTATGTTTTTGCATTTTAAATATCATAAAATATATAACTTGATTTTAATAATCGGAATAAAGACATTTTTAAAAAAGATAAAAATTAAATATATTTGATTATAAAAGTTTCTGTTTTTAAATTGATTATTAAAAAATATTATTTGTAAAAACGTATAAAATAAATAAATAAAATTAAGATTAAAATACTAAATAATATATATAAAATATTAATTTATATACATTAATAAAAAAATTAATATTAAAATAATTTTTTTTAAAAAAAATAAAATAAAATGAAAACTATTGCTATTCTATCACTTATTTTAATATTATCTTTTGCAAAAATAAACAATGAAAAAGAAGATGGAAAGATTAAACCATTAGGAGAATCTCCTGATTAACATATTGATTATTAAACTAATTAAAATAAAAATATTGAAGCAGATTTAGAATAACCATTACCTGAAATATCTGAACCTTATATATAGCCAACTAATATGACATTGCCTGGAGGATGGTCATAAATAGATGTTAATACCGTAAGATCTAGTTAACATTATAATAAAGTAAAAAGATTTGCTAAATCTAAATTTCATGGAAAAACCTGTGGAGGTCCCAAAGATCAAATGATTTGGAGATTAAAAAAATTCGAGACTTAAGTTGTTGCAGGTTACAACTATAAAGTTACTTATGAAGCTAGATTAATTGATGATTAATAATACAGTTAAGCTATACATGTATTCCACATTTTTGAAAGCATTGAAGGAGAAATTAGCTTAGATGGTTGTGACTTAGGATATGTTGCTATGTCATGAAAAAAAAAAAATTAATATTAAAATTATTTTATTTTATTTCAATTTTTTTTTTTTTAATTAATTTTTTTTTTTATATATATAATTAGAAAACATATTATTTTTTTAATCAAACAAACAAACAAAAACAAAATATTATTTTTCTTTTTTTTAAGATATGAAAATTTGAATATGTTATTTTATTTTAATTTTTTTTAAGAACAAAAAAAGATTTAATAAAAATTAATTTTATATTTTTAATTTTAAGGGGCAAAACATTATAAATTTTTTGTAAATAAAAAGTAGAAATATAAATAATACTGAATATATAGAAATTTTTGATTACAAATAATAAAATATTAAGTAAATGAATATTTTAAAATAATATAAGAGTCTATTAAATTTTGATTTATTCTATTAATATTTTTTTATAACTTAAATATATTAATGTTAAATAAAACTATTATTATATCTTATTATAACAAATTCTAGATAAAATCAAAAATTTTAAATATATTGCTTAAATAAATAATCTTCATTGATAAAATGATATTGAAAAGAAAAAAAGAAAGAAAAATTAAAAAAAAATTATAAAAATAAAATAAAAACATTATTTCAATAAATTTATTTAAGATATGATTAATATATTTAAACTAAAAAATAATTATTCAAATTTAAAAGATAAAATAATAAATATATATAAAAAAAAATTAATATAATTTGTAAAAATGAAAACTTAAAAATAAATTAAAAAAAAATTAATCTTAAAATATTAAAAAGACAATAATAACTTTAAATCAGAAAAACTATAAAAATTAAAAAAGAAAATAAATTATATAAAAAAATAATTTTTATATGAATAATAAACTAAATTATATATATACATATATATATAAATATATATTATAATAAATCATATATTTTTTTTTTTCTTTTTATATTATAATTTCTATTTATTTCTATTTTTATTTTTATTTATGATATAGGCAATAATAATATATTAGTAATTTATTTATTTTATTTTTAAAATATAATATAATATATAAAATGTATTATATATTAATTAATATTTCTTATATTTATTTTTTTATATCCTTTTTTTATTATATCTATTGATATTTTATATTATTAAATTGATATTTTATAATTTAATTTTAAACTACCTTTATTTTACATATTTTTATATTTTTTGTTATATTGTTTTAAAAAAATTCTATAAAAAAAATAGAGCTTTTAATCCATTTTTTCAATACCTTTTTTTTTTTTATAAACAAACCTCAACACAAATAATAATTATAAATATATATAATTATAATTAAAAAAATTGTATTTAATATTAAATAAATTTTTTAGTTTCTGATTATAAAACTATATACAATAATTCCCAGAATTTTAACCTTTATCAACATAATAATTATTATTTTATACTTACATTCCTTAAACTCGTTATTTATTACTTTATAAACACTTTTTTAATTCTTTGGAATGCCTTAATGATGATTATATGCTCCATTTTCTATTAATACTGTTAAAAATAATTAAAATTTTAAATAATTAAAATATTATATTAATCGTAATTCTATTCACTTTCAAGATATTTTAGGGCTTACTATGTAATTAAAAAAATTTTTAGTTGTAAACTGTTGCTGGATTTAATTAGTTATGAAAGTTAGATTATAATAAATGTAATATTTAAGTACTGGAATTAATATTTTTGAATTTATGGAAGGAGAATTAAGTTTAAATATAGTTAATTTAATTCATATATAGATTAAGAAAAAACAAACTAAATATTTTTTTTTTATATTTATTTCCAAAAAAAGGAAAATTAATAAAAATGTTCATTTTTTTTTATTATTAAAATTGTTATTTTTTTTAAGAAAAAAATAATATTTTATTTTTTAGAAAAAAATATAGGCTATATTTTTTAAGGTAAGAAAAGTTAATTTATAAGATTTTAAAATATTAAGGCCATGCTTTATAAAGATCTAGGTATAAAAAAATATTTAAATAATTATTTATATATATATTTAAAGTCTTATTGTCATGTTTTATGTTCAAAAGAAAAAAAGTTATTTTTATATAAATTGAAATTAGTTGTGATTTTGTTTTATTTTTCTAAGAATTATTTTTATTTTATTTATTAAAAATTTAATTTTAAGTTTAATAATAATATTTGTATACAGTAATTTTTTATTTATATGAATTATTGAAATTAAAAGATAATTTGATTATTTTTATTTTTTTTTAGAAATAAAAAAAAAATTAATTATATTAAATGTTTAAATTTTTTTAACAAAAAAAATATATTTTCTTTGAATTTAAAAAAATAATGTATTTATTTTATAATAGTTAAATGTTTTAGTTATTTATAGTCAATTTTTTAAAAACTAAATAGGTATATTTTTATTAACTTATTTCTTAAAATACTATGTTATATATTAATTATTAAATAAATTTATAAGAAAATATGTAATTTTAAAGGGAATATATATTATATTATAAAAAATTAATTTTATAAACAAAATAAATCAAATAAAAATAATGTTTTCCTTAAAAATTAATTTGAGAAATATATTATTAAATATTTATATATTCCATATAGTCTTAAATAAATTTATAAATTTTATATTATTAACTTTAATTATTATTTCTTAGTTTTTTTTTTCTTTTTTTAAATTGTTTAATGTTGAATTTAGCTTTCCGCAATTATTTTAAAAATTATTTAAAAAATTAACTTTTCTTGTGAAAATAAATGGATATAAATACCAATATAAGATTATTATATCAGTTTTATTTATTTAAGGTCAAATTCATATTAAGGAAGTCTAATTCATTTAAGTAATAAAATAATGGTATATAAATTATAAATACAAAGAAAAATAAAAATTATAAGATTAAATTTATTTTTTAGATATTAATTAATATATAGTAATATTATATATATATTTTTTAAATGTAATATTATTATAAAAAAATCAAATAATGATATTATTTATAAATATATATATATATATATATATATATATATATATATATATCTATATATTTTTTATACATTCTTATAAATAATCATTTGTTTAATATAAATTTAACGAAATCATAAATTTAATAATAAATAATCATTTTTTTGTTTTAACCTTTATAATGTTAATTAACTTTTTTTGAAAATATATTTAGTATTTAAATATTTAATTTCTTATATAATAACTAGATCATATACTATGGTTTAAAGTATTATTGATTCAGTATAATATTTTATATGTATTTTGTTAAAATATCTGATTTTTTTATATATATGATGATTACATATAAGGAATGGTAATTAAGAATATATATTATTTAATAAAATATGCTTTTTTTTTAATTTATTATTATATAATTTTTTTTTTTTATTTAATTTTAAAATATTTATATTTTTGTAAAATAAAATTAATCAAAGCAATATTTTGGATATACATTAAATAAATAAAATTTTTTTTTATATAATCTTTTATATAATGTTAGATATTTTCCTTTATTTTATTAAAAAATAAATATTAAAATATATATTAATTTTATAAAATAAATATTATTCTATGTATTTATTTATATATTTATATTTTATTATTATTTAAAAAAATTATTATTTTTTTATTTTGTATTTTATTTAAAAAGAAAATTTACTAAATATATATATAATATATATATATATATTTTAAAACATAGATAATTACATTGAATGATTGAAAAATATTTAATTTAATAATTTTTAATTTTCCTTTATAAGTTAATGAAAATTCTGTATTTTTAGATTGAATTATAATACATTATTTTTTAAGATATTCAAAATTATTAAATAATTACTACGAATATGAAATTTTGAACATATTTTACTTTTATTATTTTTTAAAATATTATTAATCATATATTATATTTTTTAATTAATAATAAAAATAATATATTTTGTCTAAAAATAATTTATTAAATATGTTTATATATATTTTCAATAAAATAAACTTTTGTATCTGTTTTTTTTTATTCTAAGATATTATTAAAAAACATAAAAATGCAATAACCTTAATTATTATTTTAAAAAATAAAAAAAATCATATTTATATAAAATAAATAAACTTAGATAAATACTTTATTAATAATTAAAATAAATATAATAATTAATGAAATATTAAAAAAATATGATATATTTATGTTAATTCTATTTCATTTTTAATAGTTTTTTAATAAATAAAATTATAATTTTAAACAATTAGTATAATAAAAATTAAAAGTTTATATAAATTTTTATAAAATTGATTGTATTTATATATTTTAATATAAATAAATATTTAATACAATTTATTATAAACTGAATATTACATTATTAATATTAAAAAAATAAAATAATTTTATTTAATAATTATATTAAAATCCTTAATTCTATTAAATTTTATAAATTTAAAGTATAAGTTTATATTTTGTTTTATTATTCTTAATTTAAATATAGTAATATAATTTATTTTGAAATAAGTTAAAGTTATTATATCTATTTTATTTATTAGATATAATATAATTTTGTATTATTTATTCTAATTAAAGCATCAAATAATATAATATTTTTTTTAAAAAAAATATATATTTTTAATATCTAAAAACTGTAATATTAAAAACATTTTAAAAAATATATTTACTATTTTAATTTTTTATTGTTTTTTTTTATATATTTATATAATATATATATAATACAATGATCTATTAATGTTTTTTAGAAAGCATATATATATATATATATATATATTTTAATAAGTATTTAAAGAAAATTATTTATTTATAAATTTTTTAAATATTTTTTTTTTTTTTTCGAAAATGAAGATATTAATTATGTAATAATAAATATAACTCAAATAAATTATGAATCTTCTTTTTTATTTCAAAAAAATAAAAAATCTTTAAATTAATTAATTTATAATAAATATAATTATATATATATAATAATATTAAGAAATTATTAATATCTTGTAATAAGAAAATAGAAAATTAAAAAATAGTCCACAAAAAAGGAGAAAACAAATAAAAAGCATAAAAATAAAAGAATAAAATAAATAAAAATAATAAATAATAAGTTTTTACTTTATAAAAAATAAAAACAAAAAAAATAAAAAAACAAAAAAATTAAATTTTAAATAATGTCAATATTAAATTCTTTGATAAAATAAAACAATTAAAAATAAAGTAACGAAGAAGAAAAATCAACTCCAAATAAACATAAAGAAAGTCAAAAAACAAATTTTACAACTGGATCAATGAATACGATTTCAGAAGATAGTGACTTTTCTAGTTTACTTGGTAATAAATTTAGCTATAAAAACAATAAATTTTAAATGGTTACGCATTTAATTAATTCTTAACATAAGCAAATATTAAATCAAACATATAATTCGTAAGGTATAACAAATTTGATATTTTCAAAATTAATATTAATTTAATTCATTTTTTAATTAAAGAAAATTTGGATTCTAATAGTGAATCTTCTACTTCTTCATTACTTTATAAAAATAACGGAAGTGCTTAATATCATAAACTAGCAAGTAATATATATATTTTATATTTTTTTATATTTATTTTTAAATTGAGTAGAAATAAGTATTAAAATTATTAGCTCTTTTTTGCTATTATTTTATATATATATGTATAATAAATATAGTTATTTTTATATTTGCAATTATTGTTGAATATATATATATATATATATAGATTTTTACATATGAAATTTTTGTTGAATATATATATATATATATATATATATATATATATGTATATATATATATATATATTATTATTTTTTAAATTAAAAAAAATAAAGATTCTTATTTATTTTCTGATATTTTTTAATCGCCTACTAAATTTAATAGTTTGATATTATTTTAATAGTCTGAAAATAATTCCTAATCTAATTCTACTTATTGTAGTTAATAATTAAATGCTTCTTTATAAAAAATATATTAATTTTTAAGTAAATATTTATTTTTTTAATATTTAATTAAAATAATTAATAAAAAAAATATAGATGTCGATTAGTAGATATATGATAGTCAAACTTTAAATGAAATTTAATGTATTTTATTTAATTCGAAATTTTTGAATGATTTCTATGATAATATATTAAGTTATTTTTCGATAAATTAGGAAATTGTACCATTTTTTAATCAATAAGTACTTTAAAATATGATTTCTCAAAATATTAATGAATAATAAAATAGTTATAACGAAAAATACTATTCGATAGTAATACAAGAAAAAAGCTTACATATATTTAATATAATAAATGACTTAATATTTTAAACAAAATAGAAACAAATAAAAGCATTCATTATATTAACATTAGATTATATAATATCTCCATTAACATTTATTTTTTATTTAATATTTAATGTAAATTTGTTTGTTTTTTTTTTGTTTTTTTGTTTTTTTTATAAAAATAATATTTTTATTTTTTAACTTAAAAAAAAAATAGTTTTTTGTTAAAAAGAACCAATTGGATTATGTAAAAGTGAAAAAGAATAATTCGAAAATAGATAAAATTTAATTTCTTAAAATATAATCTAACTTTTAAATGATTTTATAGATTTAAGAAACGGAGATTTTCTACAAACAAATATTTTGAGTTTATTCTTGTTAAAAATGTTAAAATAAAGCACAGAGTTTAAAAATACTAATGAAATTTTACAAAAAATAAAAGTTAAATATACTGAATATGAGATAAAAAAGAAAAAATCATCTATAAATTCAAATCCCATCAATATACCAAAAATGAATATTGTTATATTTGATGCTAGACCCCTTTTAATTTATAGTGCAGAGTTAATAACTAATGTATTATGTATAATGGACGCGAAATGGTTTATAGGACTAAATTTAAGTGTTTTATTAAGGTCTAAGTGTCAAGATAGACTTAAAGATACCTATTTATAAAATATTCAAGTAGATTTAATTATATGGTGTATTGGTTTACTTTTGTAGTTTTGTCAAAGAAAGACGAGCAAGTGAGAGTTAAATATATTAAAAAATATATTGAAATAATGCGACTTTTACAAGAAAGAAATAATTATCGTTCTTTACATAGTTTATTTACTTGTTTGAATAATTTAAAATTTTATATGCCTAAAACTTGGTGTGTATTAATGGAGAAATTAGAAAAGGAAAAAATGGCGGGAATATTTGAATATGAAACAATGTTTTATGAGTATTTATTTAATGATAAATATGAAGGGTATTATAAAGAAATTAAGAAGTTGGAATAGAATAAGTATTTTAATTTTATTGTATGTATTAATCCGTATTTATAAGAAATTAATTAACTTGAAAATAAATTTAAACAAGAAAACCCTTTTTTTGTTTAGAAATTAAAGCATGTTAAAATTGGAAATATATTATATTTGTTATTTTAAGCTTAGAAAGAATGTAATAACTAATATTCTATATTAATTAAAGATAAAAATTATAAAAACTCTAGTTATGATGAATACTAAATTTATAGTTTAGTTAAAAAAAAAGCTTTTTATAAATTGATAGTATACTTATAAAATATTAACTGAAGATTTAAGATCTTGATTTGTTTTTATTAACTAAGGCTAAAGAGATAGAAGAAAATATGGATTGATTTTAGTTAAATTTTGACTTTTTTTTATTTTTATTTTTTTTAAATATACTTCTTCTTTTACATTTTTTCTATTGTATTTATATATATATATATAAAATAATAAATATATATTTTTTATTTTGCTTTTTCATATTTTAGTTGATATTTTATTTTGTATATATAGTTTTTTTTTTTTTTATTTTTTAGAATTATATTATATATAATACTAACCAAAAAAATAAAATAAAAAAGAAAAATACAAAAAATTNTATATATATATATTATTATATATATATATATATATATAT